TAAAAGGAACCAGACCTCCTTGGAGAAATGGCTGATTCCAGGTCTGGGGCAGGAATTGTTCAAGACAAACCTACAATAGTCTGTCATTATTAGAAAGAAAGGAAGCTTTTAAAGAGTACTAATATTATGCCAAACATACAAACTCTGTCTGCAATAAAGAGCCAATTTGAATAAATTCCTACTGACCAAAAATGAGACAATATGAGTATCAATAAGGAGAAAACAGGAATGGATTGAAACACATCAAATATGTTTAAATCCATGAATTCATAATGATATAAACATAACTCAATGATTTCACAATATATGGCGTTTATTTAAATCTCAATTCAAACAAGTAAAAAATGTATAAGACAGGGAAATGTGAACATTGATAGGATGTCTGATGACATTAAGAAATTATTGTCATAATTTCTTATGACAATAAAGTGGCTCACGCCTGTAATCCCAGTACTTTGGGAGGCTGAGGTGAGTGGATCACCTAAGGTCAGGAGTTCGAGACCAGCCTGGCCAACATGGTGAAACCCCATCTGTACTAAAAATACAAAAATTAGCTGGGTGTGGTGGCACACGCCTGTAATCCCAGCTACTTGGGAGGCTGAGGCAGGAGAATCGCTTGAACTTGGGAGGCAGAGGTTGCAGTGAGCTGGGATCACATCAGCGCACTCCAGCCTGGGCAAGTGAGTGAGACTCTGTCTCAAAAAAAAAAAAAAGAAATTATTGTTCTTTTATTTTAGATGTGATAATAGTATTGTGGTATTGTATTTGTTTAATAGTCTCTGTCTTTTAAAGACACACACAGGGACATTTACATATGAAATGATAGAATGTCTGGAATTTATTTAATATAATTCAGGTAGTAGGAGTGGGAAGATGAATAAGATTGGCCATGTACTGATCCTTGTTGAAACAAGACAATGGTTTCATGGCAGCTCATTTTACTACTATCTTTACTTTTACATGTGTTTTAAATTTTCCATAAGAAGTATCTTTTTTAAAAAATCTGTATGGTTACAAACACAAACATGTCTACTACAGCTGAGATGAATCAACATAATGATGCTACTTCTCCCCAAATGTATGCATATATTCAAATAAAAACTCTAATAGCCAGACGTGGGGGCTCATGCCTGTATTCCCAGCACTTTAGGAGGCCGATGCGGGCAGATTGCTTGAGCCCAGGAGTTTGAGGCCAGCCTGGGCAACATGGTGAAACCCCTTATCTACAAAAAATAAAAAACAAAATTAGCCGGGCATAGTGGTGTGCGCCTGTAGTCCCAGCCACTCCGGAGGCTGAGGCAGGAGGATCACTTCAGCCCAGGAGGTCAAGGCTGCAGTGAGCCATGATTGCATCACTGCACTTCAGCTTGGGTGACAGAACGAAACCCTGTCTCCAAAAGAAAAAAGCAAAAAACTCTAACAGAGTTTTTCAGGGAACTTGATAAACTGATTTGAAAAGTTCATATAAAGAAGAGTTAACAAGTACAAAATGCAAAGACAATGTTTAAAAAGAAGAACAATGATGGGGTGACCTAGATGACTTGCATCACCAGACATCAAGACATATTACAAAGCTGGTTTTTTTGTTTTTTTTTTTGAGATGGAGTCTTGCTCTGTCGCCCAGGCTGGAGTGCAGTGGCACCATCTCGGCTCACTGCAAACTCCACCTCCTGGGTTCACGCCATTCTCCTGTCTCAGCCTCCCGAATAGCTGGGACTACAGGCGCCCACCACAACGCCTGGCTAATTTTTTGTATTTTTAGTAGAGACGGGGTTTCACCGTGTTAGCCAGGATGGTCTTGATCTCCTGACCTCGTGATCCGCCCGCCTCGGCCTCCCAAAGTGCTGGGATTACAGGCATGAGCCACCGCGCCTGGCCTACAAAGCTGTTTTAATTAAAACTGTGTGATACTGAAGTAGCAATTGATAAAAAGAACAGCTTCATGAGCTCAGAAACTGACCTATCTATGTATGAGAATTTGGTGTATGATAGAGGTAGAATCAAAATGGGAAAACAAAGAAAATAAGTTCCCTACCTCATACCATACACAAAACTAAATTCCAGGTGAATTAAACACCTAAAAGCAGTAGCCATAGAAAAGATAAATAAAATGCTTTCTAAAAGTATAAAAATGAGTGTATCTTTATTACATTTGGATGAGGAAAACTTTCTTATATGAAACACAAACAGTATAGATTATACAGAAAAGCTGAATAAAATGTTCTACCTCAACACAAAAAAAATTTCATATAGAAAAACTCACTATAAACAAGACTAAAAGACAAGTGGAATTTCATAGGCTTATTCAAAGGAAGAAAAAATAAAATAAAAGACAAATGGAAGACTAAGGGAAGATGTTTTTAAGGGTATATAACTGTCAAAGATTAGAAACCAGGATATATTTTTAAAACACATACACCTTGGCCAGGCATGGTGGCTCACACCTGTAATCCCAGCACTTTGGGAGGCCGGGGTGGGTGGATCACGAGGTCAAGAGTTCAAGACCATTCTGGCCAAGATGGTGAAACCCCATCTCTACTAAAAATACAAAAATTAGCTGGACGTGCTGGCAGGCGCCTGTAATCCTAACTACTTGGGAGGCTGAGGCAGAGAATCGCTTGAACCTGGAAGGCGGAGGTTGCAGTGAGCCAAGATCACGCCAATGCACTCCAGCATGGGAGATAAAGCACAACTCCATCTTGGAAAACACACACACACATACACCCCTCCCACAAATCCCTAAGAAAAAGCAACAATACAATAGAAAAATGAGCAAAAAAGATGAACGGGAAATTCACAGAAAATTCAAACGGTCAATAAATGTGTGAAAAGATCCTCAACCTCATTAGTAATTAGGAAAATGCAAATTTAAAAGATGATAGTTCATCTTGCTCCCACTCCACCCAGATAACCATTCTCAATTGGATATATTTGAGTGTATTCTTTTTTCTATGAATATACTAACACATACACACACACACACATGCATATTACTAAACTATACATATAGTATATATTAATAAAGACATTTTGAGTTGATGAACGAAGGAATGGGTGAGTGAGAATCAGACAATATCAGATCATGAATGAATTGTGTTAAAAGTAGTTAGACAGGTTTTCCTAGGAAATCATAAAAGGAGCTGGGATTTTGGGAGCTTTATCTTAATCTCTTTATAACTAAGTGTTTTCCATGTAAAAGTTGGTGTTTTTAAAATTTAATTTAATTTTTTTTTTGAGATAGGGTCTTGATCTGTCATCCAGGCTGAAACACAGTGGTATAATCATGGCTCACTGCAGCCTTGTCCTCCTAGACTGAAGCAATTCTTCCAACTCACCCTCCCTCCCAGCTGGGACTACAAGCATGCACCACCATGTCCAGCTAATTAAAAATTTTTTTTTGCAGAAACAGGATCTTGCTATATTGCCCAGGTTGGTCTTGAATTCCTGGCCTCAAGTGATCCTCCCGCCTCAGCCTCCCAAAGTGCTGGGATTATAGGCGTGAGCCACTGGGCTCAGACAAGGGCTCTTCTTGATGGCTTACTGTATCCACTTTGTCCCCAAGACCATAGGGAGACGACCAGAGGTGACTGTACTAGCTAGATTTTAAACGAAACTGAAATGAAAGTTCACTTCCTCATTATGGATACCTCATGTGACAAGTTCCAATTTCTTTTAAAGTCAGTTGAACTGAAATCTCCCTGCTGCTTTGAAATCTTAGAAGAGAGCCCATCAATTCAAGGATTCTTACTGTGGGAGCACCTGCTGGTTCTATCACGTATGTATTGTTTGTTCTTTTTCTCCCATTTGGTCTTCAAACACTCTGTTTGTGTTTGTAACTTGTTCTGCCTGCTAGGTTTTCAATCTTTGGTTTCAGGAAGTAAACTAAAAAGTCATGTCGTTCAATTTGCTTCTTCTCTATTTTCAAAAAGTTAATGTCTGCTTGAGCATCTAAGCATCTAAGTTGAGGCTGAAACGTGGCTTTCTTTGGAATATAATTAAAAGGTTTACATGTTTAAAATTCCAGATGTTTTCAATTGAAAAGAAACGGAAAAGAAAGTAGAATCCAGTTTGAGGGAGCTAGTCGCTAAATTTCTGTTGAAGTCTCTTGAATTAAATACAGAAGTGACATTTTAAAGAGTAGTTAATTGCCTCATTTGAAACAGATGTCTGATCATTGGGAAAAAAAAGATAAAAAGGAAAATAACCTACCTAAAGATGTGAATGAGAGTTGTCTTTTAACTATCTGTAAAGACTGTGGATATTTAAATAAGTCAGTTAAGAAGAGCTCATGTATTCAAAAATTCAGGAGATAAACTGATTTTTCAGAGGTTTGCCTCTCTTAAGGATGATTTTTTTTTTTTTTTTTTTTTGAGAGAGAGAGAGAAAGAGATTTCCTTTGATTAGATTTGTTGGCAAATCCTGGAAAGTCCCTGTTTTCTAACCCCCTAGATGTGTTTGGTTTACCAGATACTGGGAAATTCCTGAAAATCACTTTTTAAAGTGCTACTAAGCATTGGAAGTAGTATTTCAGACATAAATCTGCAGCTATTCCCTGTGACTATATATCCCAGGAATTTTCCTATATAATTCTCTTTATAATACTCTGTCCCTATTGAACAATGAGGTCACTTGGACACGGGAAGGGGAACATCACACACCGGGGCCTATTGTAGGGAGGGGGGAGTGGGGAAGGATGGCATTGGGAGTTATACCTGATGTAAATGACGAGTTGATGGGTGCTGATGAGTTGATAGGTGCAGCACACCAACATGACACAAGTATACATATGTAACAAACCTGCACGTTGTGCACATGTACCCTAGAACTTAAAGTACAATAATAAAAAAAAAAATAGTCTGTCCCTTTGATAGACTTTGCATTGTTATTTTCTGTTATGAAAAAATATGGTCACAACATATGCAGCTAATAGCAACACTTCCTATGTTACCTTTCCTTACACAGAATGAAACGGCTGGTTTGTGTGCTCTTGGTGTGCTCCTCTGCAGTGGCGCAGTTGCATAAAGATCCTACCCTGGATCATCACTGGCATCTCTGGAAGAAAACCTATGGCAAACAATACAAGGAAAAGGTAGACTGGATTGCCACTCGAGCGATATGCTTTTAAAGGAGTACTGTTTTCTACCTCTCAAAATTGCGTTCTTACAGGCAGTGTTTTCAGTAAATATTTAGGCTGGGCGTGGTGGCTTGCGCCTGTAATCCCAGCCCTTTGGGAGGCCAAGGTGAGCGGATCACCTGAGGTCAAGAGTTCGAGACCAGCCTAACCAACATGGCAAAACCCCGTCTCTACTAAAAATACAAAAATTAGCTGGATGTGGTGGTAGGCGCCTGTAATCCCAGCTACTCAAGAGGCTGAGGCAAGAGAATCGCTTGACCCGGGGAGGCAGAGGTTGCAGTGAGCCGAGATTACGCCATTGCACTCCAGCCTGGGCGACAGACTGAGACTCCATCTCAAAAATAAATAAATAAATATTATGTACTTGTTTCTTGCCAGATACTATTCTTGGTACCATACAGCAGGAATCAAAACAAAATTCCTATTATGGAGCTTTTATTATAGTGAGAGAGACAGGAAATAAGAAAATAAACAAGCAGATATGTAGTATGCTAGATGGTGATAAGTGTTGTAGATAAAAGTAACGGAAGGCATGGAGAGGAGGAAAGGCCCTGGGTGGCGGTAGTGGTGGTAGTGGTGGTAAGAAGTCTATCTATATGACAGGAGGGTTAGGAAAGGCCTCACGGATAGGGGTGCCATTTGAGCAGAGAATTGATGGAAGCCAGGGAGCAAGCCAAATACTTGCTTGCTATCAGGCCAAGGGCAAATGAGCACAAGCTCCTGAGGAAGGGCCACATTTGGGATGGCTGAGGAGCAAAAAGGCCTTACTACCCACATAGTGCGGCCAGATACTGTTTCTTGACTATCACTTCCCATTTTGTACTTCTGTTTTTATTTCAAAGCACGCTTGCTGATGTTAAGACCTTAACCCTACTGCTTTAAATAACTAAGTCCTGTAACTATGTAATATTTCTGTTTGTAAGCTAGTATCATATATTTCTTTATTTGACATATTATTTTGTATAAAAATGACACTCTTAGTAGGTCATATACTCTAAGTTTTATTTTTATTTATTTATAATTAAATAATAATTGTGTATATTTATGGAGTACAATGTGATGTTATGATACAAATATACATTGCAGAATGATTAAATTAGGCTAATTAACATATTCAGCACCACACATACTTATCCTTTCTTTGTGATGAGAACATTTAAAAATCCACCCTTTCAATAATTTCGACATATAAAATACATTATTACTATTATCGGTAGCCACCATGCTATGCAATAGATTGCGAGAACGTGTTCTTCTTGCCTAAATGAAACTGTACTTTTTGCCTAACATCTCCCCTTTCCCTATCTACCCTCCTCCCAGCCTCTGCTAACCACCATTCTACTCTCTATTTTTATGAGTTCAACTGTTTTAGAGTCCACATGTAAATGAGATTATGCAGTATTTGTCTTTCTGTGCCTGGCTTATTTCACTTAGCATAACATTCTCTAGACCCATCCATGTTGTTGAAAATGACAGAATTTCCTTTTTTTTTTTTAAGGCTAATTGGTATTCCATTATGCATGGAATACAATATGTACCACACTTTTTTATCCATTCATCTTTTAATGGACACTTTATAAGGTTGATTCCATATCGTGACTATTGTGAATAATGCTACAATGAACCTGGAAGTGCAGCTACCTTGTTGACATACTGATTGTGCTTCCTTGGGACATATACCCAGAAGTGAGATTGCTGGATGATATGGTAATTATGTTTTTAGTTTTTTGAGGAATCTCCATACTGTTTTCCAAAATGACTGTACTAATTTACATTCCCACTAACAGTGTATGAGGGTTCCCTTTTCTCCACATCCTCCCCAACACGTATCTCTCATCGTTTTGATAATAGCCATTCTAACAGATGTGAGGTGATATCTCATTGTGGTTTTACTTTACATTTCCCTGATGATTGGTGATGTTGAGCATTTTTTCATGTATCTGTTGGCCATTTGTATGTGTCTTGTTTTGAGAAATGTCTATTCAGTTCTTCTGCCCATTTTTAAACAGGGTTATTTTCTTGATGGTTACTTTGAGTTCCTTCTATATTTGGGATATTAGCCCCTTATGAAATGTATGATTTATAAATATTTTCTCCCAATCTATGAGTTATCCTTTCACTCTGTTAATTGTTTCCTTTATTTTACAAAAGCTTTTTAGTTTGATGGAGTCCTGTGTGTCTATTTTTGCTATTGTTGCCTGTTCTTTAGGGGTCATATTCAAAAAACCATTGCCTGGACCAATGTTGTGGAGTTTTCCCCTATATTTTCTTATAGTAATTGTGTAGTTTCAGGCCTTATGTTTATGCTTTCATTCATTTTGAGTTGATTACTGTATATGGGGTGACATAAGGGTTCAATTTCATTTTTCTGCATTTGGATAGCCAGCTTTCCCAATGCTATTTATTAAACAGACTATCCTTTTCCCATTGTGTGTTCTTAGCACCTTTGCTGAAAGTCGATTGACCATAAAATTGCAGGTTATTTCTGGGCTCTATATCCTATTCCATTGGTAAATGTGTCTGTTTCTATGCCAGTACTATGCTGTTTAAATTACTATAGTTTTGTAATATATTTTGAAACCAGGCATTTTGTAATGCCTTCAGCTTTGTTCCTCTTGCTAAAGATTGCTTTGACTATTCAAGGACTTTTGTAGTTCCACATGAATTTGAGGATTGTTTTTTCTATTTCTGTTAAGAATAACATTAGAATTTTGATAGAAATTGCACTGAATTAGTTTGCTTTGGGTAGTATGAACATTTTAGCAATATTAATTCTTCCAATCCTTGAGCATGGAATATCTTCCCATTTATTTATTTTATCTTAAATTTCTTTCTTTCTTTCTTTCTTTTTTCTTTTCTTTTTTTTTTTTTGAGACAGAATTTGCTCTTGTTGCCCAGGCTGGAGTGCAATTGACATGATCTCGGCTCTCCGCAACCCCGCCTCCCAGGTTCAAGCAATTCTCCTGCCTCAGCCTCCCAGTAGCTGGGATACAGGCATGCACCACCACGCCCAGCTAATTTTTGTTTTTTATAGAGTCAGGGTTTTCCAAGTCGTTCAGGCTGGTCTCAAACTCCCGACGTTAGGTGATCCTGACCTCAGCCTCCCAAAGTGCTTGGATTACAGGCGTGAGCCACTGTGCCTTGGCCTAGTTTGTCTTCAGTTCTTCCATCAATGTTTTATAGTTTTCAGCTAGCATATACATTTCAACTCCTTGGTTAAATTTACTCCTAGTATGTTTTAAATGCTATTGTTAAATAGAATTGTTTCCTAATTTCTTTTTCAAATAGTTGTTAGTGTATAAAACACGACTGACTTTTGTATGTTGACTTTGTGTCCTACAACTTTACTGAATTCACATATCAGTTGTAATAGTTTTTTGATGGAGTCTTTCCTTTCTCTCTTCTCTCTTCTTTTTCTTTTTTTCTTTTTTTTTTTTTTTTTTGAGACGGATTCTTGCTCTTGTCGCCCAGGCTGGAGTGCAGTGGTGCAGTCTCGGCTCACTGCAAGCTCCACCTCCTGGGGTTCAAGCGATTCTCCTGCTCAGCCTCCTGAGTAGCTGGGTACTGGCACATGCCACCACACCCAGATACTTTTTGTGTTTTAGTAGAGACAGGGTTTCACCATGTTGGTCATGCTGGTCTCGAACTCCTGACCTCATGATCCACTCACCTTGGCCTCCCAAAGTGCTGGGATTACAGGCATGAACCACTGTGCCCAAACCTTTTTTTTTTTTTTTTTTTTTTTGAGATGAGATCTTGCTTTGTCACCCAGGTTGGAGTAAAGTGGTATGATCATAGCTTACTGCAGCCTCAAACTCCCAGCTCAAGTGATTCTCTTGCCTCAGCCTTCCAAGTAACTGGGACTATAAGCACATGGCACCACACCTGGTTAATTTCTATTTTTGGTTTTTGTAGAGATGGGGTCTTGCCATGTTGTCCAGGCTGGTGTTAAACTCCTGGATTCATACAATCCTCCCATCTCAACCTCCCAAAGTATAGGCATGAGCCACCACACCTGGCCAAGACTTTCTATATGATCATGTCATCAACAAACAAAGGCAATTTTACTTCTTCCTTCTCTTATTTGGAGGCCTTGTATTTATTTTTCTTGCCTAATTGCTCTGGCTAGGATTTTCAGCACTATATTGACTAGAAATGGTGAAAGTGGGTACCCTTGTCTTTTTCTGATCTTAGCAGAATTGCCTTTAAATTTTCACCCAGTTGAGTATGGTGTTAGCTGTAGTCTTGCCATATATGGCCTATTTGTGTTGAGGAACATTCCTTCTACATGTAATTTGTTGAGAATGTTTGTCATGAAAGGATGTTGAATTCTGTCAAATGCTTTTCCTGCATCTATTGAAATGATCATATGGTTTCCTTGGTGCTGATGAATTTCACCCTCACCCACACCCTTTATGAAGAGGTTCCTCATTTCAAGGTTGACTGGAGTTAGATGTGCAATTAGCACCATTATCTGGTTAAATGAATGCTATCCCTCTGTTTAATAATTCCAATCCCTCAGGAGGAATGAACCTGACTTTTGATTAGTATCCTACCTTTATAATTGATCTCAAAGTGCACTTCTTTTTATTTTTTTTTTCCTTTCTTGTACTTAGATTTGTTTGTCTTTATACCATTGCTTCTCATCTTGCGGTTTGGAAGTAAGCCCATCATGCATGCCCATTATGTCAATTACTGGGGTAACAGTAAAACCTTGCTCCAAGGGAGAGAAACCTGCATCCAGACTTGCTACCCAGCAAGTCTGGCTTCAGCTATTCTAGGAGGCACCATCCACCTTGCCTTCTACATCATTGTATTCTATGTGAATGAATCTCCTGAAGGACAAGAAAATTGACAGTCATCTTGTAAATTCACTGTGAATAAAATTAAAATAATAGAACCAAAAATAACTTTTCAAAAGACTATATATAAAGGAAAAATATGTACACTAACAGACAAGAAAAAATTAGAAATCTTAGAAATAAAAAATATTGTCACTGCAATAAAAATCAAAAGGATTTCCAGACTGTAAGGAGTTGGATAGTATCTGAAAGATACTACTGAGGGATTCACCCTGAATGCAGCACCTAGAAATAAAAAGAAAAATATAAGAAAACGCAAGTAAGAAGATGAAAGAGAGTTTGAGGCTCCAAAATACTTCGGATAGGAGTTTCTGAAAAAGAGAATTAGATGGAATGGTGGAGAAGTAATATATGTGGAGACACTGATTGAGAATATTCCAGATATGAGACAAGGTCCTGAGTCATCCAATCAAAAGTACACAGCTGAAGGTAAATAAAGAAACCTACACCCAGACACATGTAATGAAGTTGTAAAACATGAAAAAGAAAGAGAAAATCATGGCTGGGTGCATGGTTCACACCTGTAATCCCAGCACTTTGGGAGGCCAAGGGGGCACGATCCTTTAAGGCCAGGAGTTTGAGACCAGCCTGTCTCTACAATAAAATAAAACAAAATAAAATAAAATAAAATAAAAATAAGCTGGTTGTGGTGGTGCATGCTTACAGTCCTAGCTACCTGGGCAGCTGAGATGGGAGGATAGTTTGAGCCCAAGAATTTGAAGCTGCAGTGAGCTGTGATCATACCACTGCACTCCAGCCTGGGCAACAGAGCAAGACCCTGTCTTTTAAAAAAAAAAAAACAACTGGCTGCAGTGGTACACACCAGTGATCCCAGTTATGCAGGAGGCTGAGGTGTGAAGATTGCTGGATCCCAGGAGGTCAAGGCTATAGTGAGTGCACTTCGCTGCACTCCATCCAGCCTGAGTGACAGAGCAAGACTGTCAAAAAATAATAATAATAATAATAATAGTAAATTTTAAAAAGAGAAGGAAATTCATGTTTATCATAAAATAATATTAATCACCATCAAAGCAGTTAAGAGCAAGAATTAAAATTAATATGTGAAGTTAGCAGTTATATTGGATATATTTATGCATTTGCATGCTCTCAGATCCACATTTGGTAGAATGCTTCAAAAATGCTATTTTCGGGTGGTGCAGTGGTTCACACCTGTAATCCCAGTACTTTGGGAGGCCGAGGCAGGCAGATCCCCTGAGGTCAGGAGTTTGAGACCAGCCTGGCCAACATGGCGAAACCCCGTCTCTACTAAAAATACAAAAATTAGCTGGTGTGGTGGCATATGCCTGTAATCCCAGATACTCGGGAGGCTGAGGCAGAGAATCACTTGAACCTAGGAATCGGAGGTTGAAGTGAGCTGAGATCATGCCACTGGACTCCAGTTTGGGTGACAGAGTGAAACTCCATCTAAAAAAAAAGCCATTTTCATTATCAAACACTTACTTGTCCAGGATGCAGTATGACTATGTTCTTCTTCATTATGTTTTAGAATGAAGAAGCAGTACGACGTCTCATCTGGGAAAAGAATCTAAAGTTTGTGATGCTTCATAATCTGGAGCATTCAATGGGAATGCACTCATATGATCTGGGCATGAACCACCTGGGAGACATGGTAGGTACATTACAAGGAATCCCACTTTCATGTCTGGGTAAACATCATTTCCTTTCTGTCTCCCCAAAAGCAATTTGAAGGTAAACAACAATAACAAAGGAACGTATAGTACAAAGTTGGAAAACAGTAGAATTTAAGGACATAAGAACTTGTGCAGAAATTCCTTACTTAGTTCTACTTTGACTGCTTTCTTTCTTTAACAAATCACTTCTTTAAAGGAAATTTTAAACTCACAGACTACCATTGTTTTTTTAAAATCAATTCTAGAAAGTATTACCTAAAGACTATCGACAGGCTTTTATAGAAAGTTGCCATACTTATTTAAGTCTAGATTGACAATTTAGTATGATCCATCTGCTTTCTTAATGGGAGCATGTGGGTATTTAATCTCACAAATAATCTTCTATTGGTTTTCAGATTCTGTTCTGTCCTACAAAACTTTACCGCTGTTGCCAAAGTGAAGAAGGGAACGCCCTAGGTAGACTAAACTCCTTCTTAAATGCAGGAATCTCATTTGTAATTCTTTCTCACATGGGAAACCAGTTTAGTCCACTTTTTAGACAGCGCTTTTATAAAATTCTGCCTTGCTTTGAAACAAAAATCTGCCTCCCTGTAACTTCTAGTTTTTACCATTCTCTTTTCCTCCTTCCCCATGAGGGTGCCTAACTGGGATGCTAGTGCGAAGTGTGAAACTAAACAAATCCAGATAATTCACCCCACCAGATCCTAATGGAACCTCTGTTGGTCACAACTATTACTGGTTTTTCTCAGTTTTTTTTATTCCATGTCAGTTTTAAAATATATTCACAGTTACAGTTATTAGGATATTAGAAAGAAGGATAGGCTGAGCGCAGTGACTCACGCCTGTAATCCCAGCACTTTGGGAGGCCGAGGTGGGCAGATCACGAGGTCAGGAGTTCAAGACCACCCTGACCAACATGGAGAAACCCTGTCTCTACTAAAAATACAAAATTAACTGGGTGCGGTGGCTTATGACTGTAATCCCAGCACTTTGTGAGGCTAAGATGGGCAGATGACCTGAGGTCGGGACTTTGAGACCAGTCTAACCAACATAGAGAAACCCCATCTCTACTAAAAATACAAAATTAGCTGGATGTGGTGGCACATGCCTGTAATCTCAGCTACTTGGGAGGCTGAGGCAGGAGAATCACTTGAACCTGGGAGGCAGAGGTTGCAGTGAGCCGAGGTCACGCCATTGCACTCCAGCCTGGGCAACAAGAGTGAAACTCCGTCTCAAAAAAAAAAGGAAGAAAAGAAAGAAGGATATAAGTGAAAGAGATATATATATAGTCATGTGTCATATACATTTTGGCCACTGATGGACCACATATACCTCAGTGGTCCTTCAAGATTATAATGGAGCGGAAAAGTTCCTCTTGCCTAGCGAGTGATGTTGTAGCCACCATAGCAATGTAGCACAATACACTACTCACTTGTCTGTGGTGATGCTGCTGTAAACAGACCTACTGCTCTGCCAGTGGTGTAAAAGTATAGCACATAAAATTTTGCACAGTACAAAATGTTTCATAATAATAAATGACTATGTTACTGGTTTATGTATTTACTATACTATACTTTTAATTGTTATTTTAAAGTGTACTCCTACTTATACTTTTAAAAAGTTAACTGTAAAACAGCCTCAGGCAGGTCCTTCAGGAGGTATCCAGTAGAAAACATTGTTATCAGAGATGACAGCTCCATAAGTGTTATTGCCCCTGAAGACCTTCCAGTGGGACAACAGGTGGAGATGGAATGCAGTGATACTGATGATCCTGACCTTGTATAGGCCTAGGCTAATATGTGTGTGTGTGTGTTTGTATATTAGTTTTTAACAAAAAAGTGTAAAAAAGGCCCTTTTCTGCATCATATTGACGATAATCATGCTGCGTTTTTGTCTTTTCTGTTCTGTTTATACTGTGGATTACATTTATTCGATTTCTTGCGTACTGGTTGAATCAGCCTTGGCAATCGCCAGGGATGAACCCCCACTTGATCGATCGGGTGGATAAGCTCTGTTTTTGCATCTGTGCTGCTGGATTCGCTTGCAGTATTTTATTGAGCGGATTTTTGCCATTGGATTCTCATCAAGGATATTGGGTCTAAAATTTCTCCTTTTTCTTGTTGGTATCTCCTGCAGGCTTTGGTCATCCAGGATATGTTTGGCCTCATAAAATGAAGTTAGGGAGGACATCCCTTTTCTCTATTGATTGGAGATACGTTTCCAGAAAAGGAATCGGTACCAGCTCCTCCTTCTGTACATCTGGTAGAATTTCGGCTGTGGATCGTGTGGTCCCTGGACACCTGTTTTTTTGGTTGGTAAGCGCTATTAACCTTATTGCCCCAATTTCAGAGCCCTTGGCTATTGGTCTATGTCAGGGATTCAACTTACTTTAAAAGTAACAACTTTTTAAAAAACAATTAAAAATAGAAAAAGCTTCATCTCTCAGAAGAAGGCGATAAGAAAGAAATATTTCTCATACAGCTATACACGTCGTTTGTAATTTAAGCGGTGTTCTATAAAGAGACAAACAACATCTCGAAAAACAATTCAAAAGTTTATTCAAACGTCAACAAAAGCTTGCACACTTTAAACTAAAAGTTACATTTATTACTGCGGGAAGAAGAGAAAAAATTTTTAACAA